TAACTTGTCTCTAATTATGAATCTAAAATTTCCTTTTAAAATTTTAACCAATTTTCGTCAATTAATCTAATATTGATAAGCAGGCGGGATCTATGTGCGTGTGTATGAGGAGAGAATGGATTTGCTTCGAGCAGCCATTGTTGGTGCTCCTGGAACCCCATATCATGATGGAATGTTTTTCTTTGATTTCTGCTTTCCTCCTGAGTATCCCAATGAGCCACCGGTAAGTGCATCATTACTTTCTGCTTTCACAAATAAGTCACGTTTGACCAAGGTGCAACATGGTGAGGTGCAAAAGAAAGTTGCTTTAATGGTAAAATTGTAACTTTTTTGTTCATTTAAGAATGCAATGGATTTGAGCTTCTTGACACATGCACATTTAGTGCATAAACGAAATGCACATCTTATGAAAGCACCTATAGAATTAGTCTATTCCAAACTAGCTCTAAGACTCTTTTTGGTACTAGAATGACTCTTTTTTTAAAAAATGCCAGGTTTACACGTTTTTGTGTACACGCCCCTTACATTTTGTCTGTGATGGGCAATTCGTTTCTATCATAGGCACTTCGTCTTAAAATGCAGAAATTGTCTGCAATTTTATATTAAATATTTGTGATACAGACAAAATGCGCGAAGTGTGTACACAAAATGTGTACAACACCAAGCATGGGTTGTTTTAATGAAGTAATAACATCATGATTCCGGGGGGGTGGGGGGTGGGGGGGGGCATTTAAGGTTTCATTTTGTTTGTTGTTTTCAGTTAGGTTTAAAATGGGTTTAAACTTTAAAGAGGGCATTTTGTTCGTTTCAAAATTGTTATTATTTTCAATATTTAAGGTTTTATCGTTTTTTATTCGTTTTGTTTTTATTTGGTTTTCAGGTCAGTTTAATACGGTTTTAGAAAACATTACCAAACTAAAACCAAATTGTACATGGTTTGGTTCGGATTAGTTTGGCCCCTAATGACTCCAACTCCTCCAGCAATTTAAATTTGCATTGTTGGATGATGTCATAGTCTAATGTAATGCTAGAAACTGAGAATATAAGCTCATGGGAATATATACTTCCTTGGGATTTTCTAACACAAGAACACACTTGCATATGCAGATGGTCTACTACAACTCAGGAGGACTACGCGTGAATCCCAATATTTATATGAATCGGGAAAGGTTTGCCTGAGTCTCTTAAACACATGGACAGGCTCTGAGAATGAGGTTTGGAACCCGAAATGTTCAACGGTACTACAAGTGCTCCTCTCCCTTCAAGCTCTTGTGCTCAATGAAAAGCCTTACTTCAATGAGGTCGGGTATGATACATATATCGGTAAAGCTGGCGGTGAGAAAAGCTCTGTCAGCTATAATGAGAACGCATATCTGGTCACCTGCAAGTCAATGCTATACTTGCTACGCAACCAACCCAAGGTGTGGAACTAATATAGGTAAAATTTACAAAAAATATACCAGCTTATTATTCGTGGGAACGTTTCGGTTAGACTCTTAAGTCTTAACAAATTGAAGTTAAGATGATTTATTTGACATGTCCTGAATTTGGGGTTATGTATATTCCTTTTTGCGTGCATAAATAGTGGGTACGAAGAATTAGTAAAATATTGACACACATTTAGACAACAAATTAGTGTATGAATATAACAAAAATATCTATGTGTAGTATATACTTGAGTAAAACTTCCAAAATCCGTGTATACTTGAGTATGAATATAACAAAAATATCTATTCGTTTTTTTTGTTCCAGTTCCTTGGAAGGGTTGAATCAGAACGTAATTGGGTATACCAAAGATCTGTTCATAGCAGTTAACTCAGCCTTTTTTATATTTATAACTCGTCACCAGAACATAAACCGGTTCTATCTTATTATGGATGAAGCGTTGAAACTAGTTTGGTCCTACTTAGGAGGAATCAGAACCGAACCGGAGTTGGACCAGTTTTGGTCATGAATCATTTTACGGGTTCCTTCTTTGGCAATAATCTCTCATTTTGAAACTGAGACTGGGTTCACCCCTAACGGTTAGGCACAACTCAAGCTTAGTTACTTTATTTATGTCGATTCCAATTAAATAGATGGACAGTGTCTCAAAAAAATGGTCAGTGTCTTAATTTGGGTACCTTATGCAGTTATGCTTATCCATAAAAGTCCTCCTCTGTTCAAGATTTTTAGGATTATTTTTTCGAGTTTGTCTTCATTATCTTTTTGTACAGCATTTTGAAGGTCTTGTGAAAGAACACTTCAGCAGGCGGGGTAAGCATATTCTGTTGGCTTGCAAAGCATATATGGATGACACTCCCATGCGTGCAGCGGGATCTGGGAACGTAAAATCTGATCAGGAACACTTCAAAGGAAGTTCTAAAGGATTCAAAGTCCTACTTGCCAAGATTTTCCCTCTGACTCGTGGAGGCATTTTCTGAGAAGGTAATCGTTCCAGCTGATGCTTAGACTTGAGGAGTGTGTGAGACGAAAGGATTAAAAAGGTGTTGTATGCACCTATCTCTGTGATAAGTAGAATGGATAAAGCCATAAAGGTTTGTTTGGATTTACCTTTTAAAAAAGTGTTGTATGCACTGAACCTATCTATGTAATTTATGATTTGCTTTAGAATGGACAAAAGTACAAAACCATAAAAAAAACCAGCACTGATGGAGCAAGTGCCAGTAACAACGAATACAGGTATACTCGTATATTTTTACATTTTAAATGTTAACACTTGCATAATTTTTATAGTTTTAAAAAAGAATTGTGTTAAGACTTTAATTTCACTGCAATTTTAAAAGATAATAATAGGTTGAGACTATTTAGGTGGAAGTCATTTTTAAAATTTGGGGTAGGTTGGGATCTAGGCTGCTCCCCATCTAGCTACGTCCCTGACCGCCACCCTAACCGCAGTTACCCCACCCCCAGTGACCAAGTTTATAGTGACCACCAGTCCAATAGACTTTGCCCCCTCTGATCAAAGACTTTGGCAATCACACCCTCTCCTTCACAAATCTCCAACCAACCCTGGCCATAGTCCCAACCCACCCCTGCTCCTATCCTCTGTCACTTCCCCGATCGCCGAACCATCACTTCCCCCCATCACTATTCCAATGAGATCATCTGAAGATAACCGTACCAGCAAGTTCCCCTCTTGTAAGCCTAGTCACCGTTCCACTGCTGAAACTCAAGCCACTGCTGGAGACACAAATCGCTGAACTAGTGCTGGACTCGGGCCGGGCGGCCCGGCCCGGAACCGGCCGAGCCCCGGTTACTGTTTGGCCCGGCCCGGCCCGGGGCCCGGTGGGTCCGCCGGTTCGGTTCGGCCCGGCCCGGCTGCTGGGCGGTTCGGGCCCGGGCCCAGGTTTTGGTGAACCGGCCCGGCCGGTTCGGGCCCGGTCCGGGCCGGATTTTAATTTTTTTTTTTTTTTGAATTTTTTTTAAGTTTTAGGTTGGATTAGGTATTTTGGGCCATTTGAGGTGGTTTGGGATGGTTTGGGGTTGAGGGGGAGGGGTAGGGGATTAAATAGGAGAACAAAAAAAAAATTAATTGGGCCGGTTCGGCCCGGCCCAGCCCGGTTTGGCCCGGAACCGGGACCGGAACCGGCCACCGGCGGTTCGGGCTCGGGCCTCCCTTTCCTGGCCCGAGGCCCGGCCGGGCCCAGGCCCGAACCGGCCCGAGTCCAGCACTACGCTGAACAAGCACAGACAAAGACAATACATAGGGGATGTGATATCTCGATGGGAAGGTCTTTAATATTCCTTCTGTAATCCTTCAATTTAACTATTATGATTGTGTTAACCAGAATTTCAGTACTAACTGCTATGAAACAGTAATGTCATCTGAACGGTAAAACAATAAATTCTAATTCTCGTTACGGCTTTACAAAACTAAAGAATATATAACAATCTCTGCCTCGAAATGTAAAATACGGTTTGGTTTGCTATAGGATTTGAAAAGATAAAGAAATTTGCTCACTCTAAAATTGTAAGCTTCTAAATAGGGTTGTAAACGAACCGAATCAAGTCGAATAGTAGGATTTTGTATTTGTATTTGTTTAATTTTTTCGAATACGAATTCGAATTCAAATATGAAACGAATATTAATTTCGATTTGTATTTGTATTTGTTTAACAATACGAATAGTTAACGAATCTTATACGAATATCGAATAGATTTGAGCATAGGTTAAATATTAGTCAAATATCACTTAAAATTAAATTTTCTTATATTTTTCTATGTTGTAAATGTACGCTATGATTAGATATGTGTTTTTAGAATTTAAATTCAATGGATCAATGCATTTTTAGATTGTGCACGATATACTAAAGTGAATCAATTTTATGATTAATAAATATAAATCCATTTCAAACTTTTTGAAATAAACACTAACATATACATATTAGAAATTTCACTTATAATATGTGAAATAAGTTGATAATTATATATTTCAAAGTCAGACGACTCTAATTTTATTCTGCGAATCGAATACATAATTATTTGTATTGTATTTGAAAGACATTTGAACCAAAACTCCGATTTGTATTCGTATTTATACTCTGATTTATTACAAATGGACTTAGAATTTCTATGCGTAAATGTATATATGAACTACACTTTAGGGTATTGCTATCTTTTAAAAGTTATTATAGTGTTATTACTATTATTATTAATATTATCACTATTATTAATCGAATATATTTGATTAATATTCGAATCGAATACACTGATATTCTTATTTGTATTTGATAATAAATCGAATCAAATTTAATATTCATATTTGTATTTGTATTTGAATTTTCCGAATTCGAATCGTCTTATACGAATTCGAATCGCGAATCGAGTACAAATTATTTGATTCGTTTACAACCCTACTTCTAAATGGTTACAATCCTGGATTAAATAACACAAATAAAATGGTTCTTAATTTTGAATTGTGTCCTCACGTGTGTTATGTGTGCATTAATTTTAATTGGTCAATGTCAATTGATTAATTACTATTTTAATAATATACTGGACATGAAAAAAGTTAAGATGCTTTATTCAATGGTCAATCTTGGAACATTCAATGGTCAGCTGGACCTTCAAATATTGGAAATCCAAATATCTTTATTCAAAGTTTGTACAAAACGAAACAAAACAAGAACTTAAAAAGTGCACAATTCAAAGAATAATTAATGGGGAGAATAAAAAGACTTCCATAGGTTAAAGCACCCCCACCCCTGACTAGAAGCTAAGAATGGTTTTTAAAAGTATTTTCCTTTCTCGTAAGAAACCAGTCCATGAGCTCCACCTTCCTGAACTCCACCCTCAGACTGTGCTGCTCCAGTTCGAACCTACATCCATAAAATCAAGCAGCAATAAATCTCGACTGAGTTACAGAGACTCAGATTGTATAAAACTTGGGTAGTAAAAAGCAACACAATTTTGAAATCAGAAATAGCTAGCGAACAGAAGATACACAAACCAACCTCGAGTCTCAAAGTGCCCGATCTCAAATGCTGATGGGCTGAATGGATGGAAGAAACACCAAGATCTTGGAACCCTTGTTTTAGGGCTTGCATAGTGTATGGTATGAACTTCAAAACAGAACCTTTGTCTTTCACTGTTCCAGCAACCCCCTGAGCAATCTTTAACTTAGTCGTATCACCCAAGTATCTTGCATCACTTCCTTTAGTCATTGCATCTAATGATCCCATTCCTCGATATCTTTTAACTCGTACACCATCCTACATGTACCCAAGATGTTACTTAACATGGGAGCATGCCTGACACGACATTAGTTTACACCATAGTTGATGAATTCCATCAAACATTGCTAAGACTGGACTGCACTTATATGACACTGCTATAAGATAATAATTAACATTCTTAAACAACTGAAATAAACTGCAGGAGAGCATGCAGTTATAATGGACATATAAACACTCGTAGTTTATCCAAGAATGCATCCTCCAAAGACCAAAGTGGATGCAATAGGAAAACATAAGATGAAAAGCATCATGACTGATTATGTAAGATAATACTCCGTATAAAACATCGGCGAGCAACAAAAAGAGAAATCATGGGAATGAACTGAATGATATGCTACTGATGAACCTTGTTATATTCGTATGTGCCAGGAGCTTCACTGCTTCCAGCTAAAAAGCTTCCCATCATAACAGTAGATGCCCCTAGGGATAAGGCTTTAACAAAGTGGCCAGAATTCTTTATTCCTCCATCCGCAATGACCGGAATACCTTCCTCCTGAGCAACCGATGACACCTTATATACAGCTGTAGCCTGAAAACAATTGGTAGAAATTGCTAATATATCATTAGAAATTAAAGATCCGCATAAAAATGGCAAATGATACACTACTCCAATCCATCAAAGGATTCATGTTTCAAAAGCTATTTTTGTCGGAAAAAAGCACAGTAATGTTTGATAAGATAAAGATAACTTTTGACACAGTTTGCCAAAACATAGTAGCAAACAAGTTCATTGCAGCCTACGTGGCTACAACCCAACGACATTGTCCCATATTACAGTTGGCATGCCCCATTTTTATTGTTTCAATGAATAGCATTACCAACACGAATAGAGTAAAATAATGATTTTTTTATTAAAACTTGTGCCAAATGTATATGAAACAATATCTTTGAGGCGGGAGAGTGTGTATCATCGTATCATACATAATGAACTAACTGAATTATCAAAAAAGTTTTAAAATTGCACGTAGTATTAATGATTTATAATAGTCGTGGCTTGCAAAAAAAAATAGTCATTGAACAAACAGGGCTCTTTTTAAGAAATAGAGAGTAATTCTTCGCCCAGTAGGCATAACCACATTATACCACAAATGTTGGGATTAGCCTGATAAGGATAAACCATTGATTTTCAATGCTTCTTACTCCGAATGTAGATGAAGTACTTGTACCATTGCATCAGATGTGTAATTTGATAATATTATTAATAATAATTATAATAATAAAAATAACAATAATAATAGTAAAAGTAGTAGTAGTAATTATAATAATAGTCATAATAATATTAATAATAAAACTTCACTCACTGAAAAAACAAAGTTGTGGGAAATGATACAAAACAAATCCAAATGTTACCTGACCACGTCCAACAGCACAAACTTCTTGTGTCGTACAAATGGAGCCAGATCCCATCCCAACTCTTAACCCATCAACACCCGCCCGAATCAAACCCCTAGCTTGATAAGTTGTTACCACATTTCCCCCAATGACATCCAATTCCGGGTATGTACGCTTTACAAACTTAACCATTTCCATTTGGTAATGGGAAAATCCTTGTGAGCTATCAATAACCACAGTGTTTATCCCAGCTTTAACCAAATGCTCGAGCCTCTCTTTATCTGATTCCCTTGTCCCTATAGCTGCTCCAACCAAGAACTTTCCATCTGGGCCCAATGATGGCAATCCGAGTTTAGGGAATCCCTTTATACGCTCCACATCACCACTGGTTACCAAATTAACAACTTCTGCATCACTTTCATTCACCAATGGCACATACTCAAGCTTTTCAGCTTCTAGATAACCAGCTACATCTTCATATTTGTAGCTTGACGGCAATGACACTGCAGATTTTTTCATGTAATCTGAAACCCTTACTTCCTTGTTACTCAAAGACTCCCATGATGACCTTGACACGATGCCCAATAGTTTGGACCGCTGAGTCCCTGACTCTGTAACGAATACACAGGGACCTGAACCGAACTCCTCAGCAGATTGGATGGAATCACCAGGGGAGATGAATATCAAGTCGGCAGCGAAAGGGATTTTGTGAGACTTTACTGATTGAACTATGGAGGCTTGTTTGGAAGGGGTGTTGTTAGAGTGGACGATGCCTATTCCGCCGAGAGCTGCCATGGCAGCAGACATTGAGGACTCGGTAACCGTATCCATGGGAGAGGCGACACAAGGCAAGGACAGTGAAATATTGCGGCTAAAGTTAGTAGATAGATCCACAGCGTCAGTTGCGAAGTCAATATAACCAGGAAGGAATATGACATCATCATATGTGTAGGAATAACCTTGGCTAAACAAAGTAGAGGCAGGAAATCCATCATCATAATGAGGTATTCCCTCCATGTCAGTTGCCCTGAAGATGCTTGTGAGAAAAAAATGGTGTAAGATCAACGACATTAGTTATATTAAAATCCTAATATAGGCCATTGCATCTAATGACATTTAAAATTCAAAACAAAATGAAAATTTTGAAAAAGAAAATATCACAATCACACATTATCCTTACTCCTGTATTTTTTAATTGCAACTATAAATTCTTTACATCGATTAAGAAAAAAATGGTAATGAGTAGCGTAGAGAAATTGTAAGAAGTAAGAGAGATTAAATAAAAAAAGTATGAAATAATATAAAAAGTCTATAAAGCAAGAAAGAGCAGTGTTATCAAAAGCTGAGAGCGGGAGACCTAGTGGGTAGTGTTGTGGCAAATAGCAGAGGCATCGAATTTAATGACATAAATTACATATAAGTAGTTACATTTAAATATCACACTAGATATTAGCATTAAAGGTTTAAAGTAATAGAATAAATTCCAGTACCAAAACTAGTAAACCACAGAAATTCAAAGTTGTGGCATGACGGTATTATGTAACTGGTACCTCGAGAAATTAGTAGACCACCAAAATTCAAAGATGTGCCAGCAAGCATTACTTGTGTTATTGGTCTTTAAAAGAGTATAGAAGCTAAATAAATAATAACTTTTTTAAAGCGAAAAGCGGCCAAAAGCGATGACCCCGGGCTTTGTTTCAAAGCGAAAGCCTAAGCGAAGCAACGAAGCGTAGCTTTCTCACAAAAAGCGATGCTTAAAAAAATTAAAGAAAATATAATACATAATGTATACAAGTGTAAATATTTATATATTTACAACATATTGTCTTCCCTTTTTACCAAGTATTAGTAATATACTATCTTAAGCTCATTAAAACACACACTGTAAAACACAAAATTAATACAAATCAACCACAAAATTTAAAGTGAAGAAGAGTATACAACAGTGAAGAATCTTAAAAGACAGAGTATAGAACATTAAACAACACAAAAGTAAAACAAATCAAACACAAAATTCGAAGAGTATAAACTGTAGGAATGCTTAAAGACAAAATTAAAAGTGAAAGAGTAAACAAATATCATCGTTGATCATTCTTATAGGAGGTATAGCTATTTGGATTACCATATAAAAACTTCAGTAGTAAAAACGAAGACTACCTCAGCACATATAAACGAAGATTGAATAAAAACTAAACGAAGACCACAGGTTCGAAGGGCTGAAGGGTCGAAGGGATACTCTTCCGGTTGTCAAAGTTCCGGAGAAATCCTCTGGCTCAACTCTGGAGAAGTCCTCTAGCGCAGCTCTGGCCTCTGAAGAAGTCCTCTGGTTTGTCCCAGCTCTGGAGAAGAGTAGAAGACCCGGAGAAGTCTTAGAACGAAATATTATTAATTCACTATACTATTAGTATATTAGACAGTCCGCCAATTCCTCCTTCGAGTTGCAGTTTCTTTGTCTTAAAAACTTGATTGCAAATAAAGTTTATCACTTTAGTTAAGTTGGCCAATTCTCTAGACAGAAAAATTACAACTTTAGCATAAAGAAGAGGGGGTTTTGAGAATAAATACGGCAAGATGGAAACTATGGCAAGTGGACAAGTCTGCAAGAAGTGGAAGAACAAAGTTGAGAAAGCTTTCTGCGTTTTACCTGGCTGAGTAGTGCGGCAGAGGGACGTGGGGGAAGCTGGGCAGGGCGCGGTCGTCGGTGGTGAATCGCGGGCGGCAGCCGGCAGGGAGTCGGCGACTTGGGAGTTTGTCTTTGTAGATCGATTGGCTGCTACTTTGCTGAAGACTGAAGTCCGTATGAGTCAATGATTACTCGACCTTTTCCTATTCTTGGGCCGTAGGCGGTTGGGCTGGGCAAACATAATACGGAGTACTCCTTATTTTGAGAGTCAAAACTCAGCCTACTCATAACTCACAATTACTATTTTTTTTATCATCAAAACAGGTCTCTATTCATATCAAAAGATTCAGGATCATTATATCAAATAAAGGGAAAATAAAACTGACATCAAATGAAACTCCAACAACGGTAAGCCTAGTCACAATTACTATAAAAATAAGAATAATTCTATTCAAAGCTCTAAATTACTATTTACTATCAATAAATAAATAACAGTCAAATTTTTGTCACGAATCAAGAAAATTTAAATTTGCCATGTTTTGTGGGATGAGGATATTATTAAATTAGATTCGCATATTGCAATTCATTAGATATACTTTAAGATTTTTTTTGAAAAAAAAAAAGAAAGAAAGAAACTGAATTAGAAGATATGAAGCAGAGATCGTGAGGTTTAATATTAGACGTTTAATATTCAACAAAATAGCCATGTCGTTCGTTACAATTTACATTGATGTTCAATTAATGAGTTTAATACATCAAATCTCCTCGTGATATAGAATTCAGCGCATGAAGCTATGTGATTTAAAAAAATGTGTCAAACCCCTCTGTGTTATAATTATTCATGAGCAGAACCTTCTTTTGTGAATAAATATAACAATTTTAAAATCACTTTTCTTATACTCGTATTATGATTGAATATGGAAGCAAATTTATCAAAATCTCTAAATTGTACAAAAATGTTAATCATTTATCTGTTATTTTTCACTTGAATTTGTTCACATAATAGATTTTGCACATGATTAATAATAACACAAAGGGGTTTTATACATTTTACTACGAAATTACATGAATTCATGCACCAAATTTCTACTCCGTATATCACAAGGGAGTTTGATACATTAAACCTCTCAATCACAAAGTGTTGATTTTTATTTAAAATTACAAAATGCCACCAAATCTTTTACACGGTACAACCAATAGTACAATTTGTTTACGATATGAAGGCACACTTCCATCTTTCTTACACATGCAAAATTCCTCAGGCTTCGATCAACGTTGAGCATCTTCCCCATCATCCACATTCCCATTTTCCTCAATCTGATCCGGGTATGCTTAAAGTCTAAATCTTTATGCAAATATTACCAATAAACTTTGTCTGAAATCTGTTTAGTTTGTTGGGTTCAAAATTTCCATTGGAATTTCAATTAAGATGAACATAGTAAGGCTTGTGTTGTTTTATTTCTCTTGTGCTTCATTCTTTTATCTATTTGTTCTGTTTAACATAAATTTAAGAAGCACTTCTTTTTATGATTTCTTTTGTATTAAACTATTTATTCGTTTGTTAGATTCTTCTTTTTGTGAAGATTGAAATCAATTTGATGGTTGATTCTATGTAGATCTCAGATCTTGAATTATAATGTAAATGATGTCATTTGATAAAAATCTAACCTTTTACATCTATGAAGGATATTTCCTTTCAAATAGAACTACTCCGGTAAACACATCAAAGTTTCATCAATAGTGTTATTAATCCTTATGGTCCACTCTCTGTGCTATTTTCTACATCATGAATTTCTTTATAGATAAAATTTGTTTTGTAAAACAATAAGTGACTACAGTATCAAAAAATCATCGAGAATGAGCAACTCGGCAGCGGGACCATCATCAAAAGCAAAAATAGGAGGGGCATCCCATCCCTTGGATGGTTCAATGAAACGAAAACGTGGAATGTTTCAAAAAGATTGTGAGTTTCTCATACCTTTGCTTGTTTAAGGTAGCCATGAAAAAACTCAGTATATAGAATCTATGAACCAATATATGATTTATGTGCCAATATGTGCAGTGCAGCACATGATGTACGGCTTCGGGGATGATCCCAATGTAATGTATAGCACCAAACTTTCATTTTCCAATTCCATTTAATGGTTTCTTGTGAAAATGTTATCTGCTCAACTTCCAATGCACTTGTCTAAAAGACATTAGTGTGTGCAAGTATTTTTCTTGAATTATTATTAGAAGTAATGGATTCATTCTACCTTTCTTTGGTTTGTTGATCTTTATTGCCAACTGTTGATTTTTATCAGCCACTTCAAGAGACAATGTTACTTGTAGAGGATATTGTGGCAGAGTATGTCACAGATATGGTGAGTTATAACAACTTTTTTTCTTCCTGCTATTTTAACTTCTACCTCTCTCAACTCTTAAAACCAACCTTTTCACTCTTAAGGGTCTGTTTGGATCCCGGAAAGTGCTATGGGGAAAATGCAGGAGAACATAGGAGGGAGGTATTGAGGAATAAAAAATGTGAGATGACAGGGAAACAAATGTTATGCTAAAAACAACTAAATCTATTTTAGATATTTGCTGATACTCATCTATGCTTATTACTCCTATAAAATTACCAAGAAATCTAAATACATGTAAATTATTTATAACAGAATCAAATTTCGTTGACCTTTTCATTCTCCAAGGCAAAACCAAAATCATTATCTGTAGGCACCTTTTCCCCCCTTTCTATAGCAGTTTCTGAGTTACAAACATAACCTAAATCATTGTCTATAGGTGCACAAAGCTCAGGATGTTGCAACAAAAAGAGGGAAGCTTTTGGCAGAGGATTTTCTGTTTTTGATTCGCAAGGTAGAAGGGGGGCTTTCATGCCTTGGATGCTCACTTGTTTGTTTAGTCATTATATACGATTCTAAAAGTCAATTATAACAATAGTGCTAGTAATGTATATAATAATTATTGAGATGCGCATTGATCTTGTGCAGGACTTGCCAAAACTTAGCAGATGCACGGAGTTGCTGTCTATGAATGAGGAACTGAAACAAGCAAGGAAGGCTTTTGAGGTTGATGAAGAGAAGATGGCCTCACTTGAATAATAAAGATTTGCAGAAAAGAAAAAACAACTGCTGATTATTTTTTTACTCCATTCTTTTTGCTGGCTCTCTAATGCAGGGTTTTACCAAATTTTCATTTTATTTTTCTGAATATGGAGAAGTTCAAACTTGTTGTTTATGAATCCAAGGCAATTTAATATACAAATGTGCTCAAAATCTCGATACAAGTTCATTTTGCAGCATTAGGGCATTGACCTAAATCTTTATTATTGTTAAGGAAAAGTAAATAATAAAGCCACAAAAATATAAATAGCAAGCCTCTACTCAAAACTTTTTATAAATAAATAATTCAGTACTCCGTAAGATTCACATCTAAATTAATACGGAGTATATGTTACACAAAAACACCTAAACCCAGGAAACTACAACTGCAGAACTGCAATAAGAGAGAATATTTACACAAATTAGGTAAATGTCACACAAAAAAGAGCACTGTCCTTCAATGCTCATTCAATAAACCATTTGTTAAGAACCAGGAAGGACTCTGTGGACTGCCTCCAGAGCTCTTTAAACAAAATGGACTAACATTAGTGTGGGTGATGGGAACGACGCAGTCTACGAGCCTGTTGAGCAGCTAAATGAGGTCTTCTGTTCTGTGCCTGTAATTCAAGGGGGTCATGCACTATTGTAAAGTTATTTTGTTTAAAGTGAAAATATTTTGTAGACTGCATAAAAATATACACTTACGCCAATTCTTGTTGTGAAGTGACAAGAAGAACATTTAACAGAGGGAGCCCCATATGGATACATAAGCAATACTGTGCATCCTCCACACTTGACTTGTCCTACTTGATGAGCTTAGTACAAAAAAGAATGCAAATTTTTATTAATATACTACGTGTAAGAGATGAGACCAGGGTCAATGGAAATGTATACTACGGTTTAACCTGTGAACTTCAACGGGTGCCGGAGTAAGCTCAGTTGCAACAATTTCATCGCCATGATAGACTAGTTATATATGGTTGAAATGGATACTAGATAGTCTAATACCATGAAATAAAAACCAAACATTGGGTGACAAATAGATGGATTGGATATACATTTTTCGGATTATAAAGGGTTCATTGAAAAAAATCCATTAGTCCATTTGTGATGCGTATAAAATCATTTGAATACAACCCATCCCATCCAATACAGATTTTTTTTCACTGATGGACATCAATCAATCATTTTATTGTTACTTGGACACACACACATTTGTTTTTACATAAAAGATGAGAGCTGGGACGGTCTTCTACTATTCTTCACATAATCAACTAATCAAGTAAGCTATTTAGATTCACCATGCATATTCCATTACGCAATGTTTAGGGAAAATTGAAGTGCAATAGGCTCATGGTGTTTAATCTTCAAAGGAGACTAACAGGATCCACAAATAAGTAAATGCTTATCTAAGAGTAGAGGGGAAGATAAAAACCTTCGAGAGCAAGATTAACTGTCTGGCAGGCTGCACATTGAACCACTTTAGAACCTCGAGGATATGAAAGCAACTGTCGGCAAGTACCGCACACCAATTGGCCAACCTCTTTATGAAATAACTATAAAAATGAATACTTGAAATGCAAAAAAAAAAAAAACCTGCACCAACACTCACATGAAAATTAAATACAAATCTCACCAGAAGACATTTGCACTACAGATGGTGGGAGCTGAGAAAAAAATCGTTGCATAGATCCCCTCTCCGTGCAAAGTTTTTTATTCTCATTGTTTTTGTTTTGTTGTTTGCTATCCATTTCAATATCTGCTACACCAAATTCCTAGCCATTATATTATACAATAAGGTATACATAAAAAATGATAACATAGCTTCAAGCCTCCAATACTTTAAGATACAGAAATCTGTAAAATAGTACTGAACTGATATTTTAAAGATTCTACAAGGGCCTACAAGCTTTTAGAAAGCGATTAGCCGATTAGGAACATTAGCATAATATGAAAAAGGGGGTGACATATGTTATGACTATCGGGAAAAAGATATTCAATGAAGATGAAGAAAATCATGATGTACTCCCTCCATCCCGAGGAATGTCCTGATTAAATAGAGTGCAACTTTTTATTTTTGTCACTCAATCAAAGTATGTGAA